GATGTCTGGCCCATGTCGATCTTCAATGGGCCGCTAAACAAAAATCATACGACGCCCCAAGAACTTGTGCAACAAAGCCCACTCGATCGACATAACAGGAGACTCATTTCACTCCTCCCAACTCCGAGAGCTGCTTCTCAAAATAACTTTTCCATACTTTGTGAAGTCGCAAGACGCGCAATCGAACTCTTGAGTCTCCGGATTGAAATGCCTGTCATTCCTTTTTTGCAGATTGTAAGCAGTCAGGGGCCATAAGGAGGAAGTTTCAAGCCCCTCCTTGCTTCAGCCCTGCTTAAAGAGGTCATATGATGCGATTTCAATTTTTCCTTTCTCTTTGGAGTGTTACAAGCTCTTGGTGCATAAAGAAGATCTGTAAAGTTGCAAAGACTAAAGTCTCAAATCCAAAGAGATATTCTTTATAAAAGTTAAGAGTCAACCACGTCTACCTAAAACGGCTGTTCTAACACGCCCCCACATGTCTATGTCACGATGTGGGAAGATTTGCATAACTCCGCCCAAATGTTCACGTGAAGAAAGGCGGCATAACTTTTATTCTCGCTGTAGTGTTGCTGCCGCCGCCGCCATGTCATGAAAGCGCTGTTTCGTTGTGAAAGCGAAACTACTTTGTTTGGTCTTCCAAAAGAGGACGATATCCGCTTCGTCATGCCTGGAGCTGATCCGTGCTGGTCGCTGAGGAAATACATCAACTTCGTGCTGTCAATCGCCGGATCAGCTTTCACCGTGGACGAAGCAGAGTCCAGCCCGGGGTCGTCACGTGTGGTTGCCGCAAGCCCGCCGGACGCTCCTTCGTCGAATCCGCCGGCCGCGCCATTCTCAAGCCCACCCGCCTTTGCTCACTCAAGCCGGCCTCCGCATACTCACAACGCTTTTTCGTTGTGAAAGCGAAACTACTTTGTTTGGCCTTAAGTTTTTTGGGCAGTGTAGAGTAGCACTTGTTGTTTGTCATTTCTCCGATCACAAATGCAGACATGGTTTTATGTTACGCTCCGGCCGGACAGGGCATCACAATATGGTAAGGGACGTAACATTTCCGTCACACGCTTGAGGTATTCGGCCAATCACAACACACTGGATAGCTGGCCAATCGGAGCATACCTCGCTTTTCAGACCGATGAGCTTTGTAAAAATCAACGCGTTTCAGAAAGGCGGGGCATAGAGGAGAAATAATCATGTGGAAAATAATGTGTTTTTTTAACCTTAAACAGCATAAACACATTTCATTACACCAAATACACAAAATAATGTTCTTTTTAGCAGCATCATATGACCCTTTTAAAGCATGGAAATGTATGTGGGTAATAATGTGTTGGCCAAAAGTGACATGATCATTAGAAAATACTAGATCAGGAGTGTCCGTGCTATTTTTGACCACTGCTTTACTGTATTAAAATGAAAATAAAACATGGTTTATTCTGTTGTAAATATCTGTTGCTAACTATCACAATATTTTTGATCAAGAAATGACAGTGAAAATGTTTCCCCGAGTTGTACATCATCTAACCAAAGAGAGTAGGCTATCAATAAAGCTGTATAAAATATTCATAATGTATAAAAACTAAAGATCATTCATTACTGATGATTTCAAGACATGATCATCTTGCATAACACTACTTTTACTCCAGTGAGTCAGTCAGTTTCTGTAAAGACACATACCTTAACACTGACCTTCAAGAGCGGGGCATGTTGTGCACACCATTAAATAGTATTTAATAATATGCTCTCAGGAAAATGTAAATGGTTAAAAAAAATTAAACTAATTATTTTATGAAACAGCGAAAAGTAACCAGTAAAATACAAAAATAGTATTGGCCATTGTATTTTAAATAATAAATACTACAAATTTATAACATTTAAAACCTGTGACAACTTGCCCCATCCTGACCTGAATGAAAATAGCCTATCCATGTCTGACTAAATGTGAGGTTGAGGTTTTATTGTTCACAATGAGACCATTTTCAAGGTTTGACCATTTTAGGAGTTTGAACCCAACATATAAAATCACTGCTAGCGAAAACACACATTTGTGTAATTAAAAATATTGGATTCAAAACCTTATGAGACACATCCCTTATGACAACTCATCTAACAACTAGCCCCAGTCTCACTTATATGACACTATACATAGTCTTTTGAATGTCAAAGTTCTATGAAAGTTAGCACTTTATTTATTTTGCATAAAAAGGGAAGTCAAAAGGGCACACTATGAACCTCTGGTTCCATTTCTCCTTTGCGTCCCATGAGAATGAGCATTTTTGCAATAACAAAGGTTTTATACCAACAAATACTAACATTGCTATAATCTTTTAGTTTGTTTGCAGCTAATGCTTTGCTTTCGTCAAAAGAGGCCAAAAGAAAGCAAAAGTGGTGGGTGGGATTCAAAGCAGGAAGCTTTACGAAAACAAGTCTACTCTGGAGATGTGAGCTATTGTTTTGCACACAGCAAAGCTGAATGTTCTCATCAAGTATGAGCTCTCCACCCCTTCCCCTCTTCCTGAAGGTCCTCCTTACCATCATAACACCACAGCCCTGAGTACAAGCAGCTGGAAATAGTGTGATTTGTTGGTGTAATCTTTGTTCATGCAATCTTTCTTATTTTATAGTAATGGTTTTGTTATTGAACGTGTGGAATTATTATTTTTTATTCAAGAGGGGTGACCAAGTAGTATAGTGGTTTAGTATAACGGTCTCAAACCCAAATAGGGGAAACCAAAAAATGCAGACCTACTAAGTGAACTAAGTGAAAGTTAACTGTTTCCTACAGCTAGACACACTGTATACAGCTAGTTCTAATCTAAAGCAGTGCTTCTCAACCAGGGGGTCGGGACCCATTATGGGAGCTAACTTTAGTC